GAGCGCCGGGACCGCGGCGGCCGAGCCGCGGCGCGCATTGCGGAGGCCCGGAGCGCAGGAGCCGCCGTCCGCCGGGTAAGCGTGTGCCGCGGCTGTCTGCGCCCGCGAAGCCGGGGTCCGGTGCTCGAGCGTTCGGGGCGGAGGTCCGCGGGTCCGACTGTGACCCGGGATCGCAGCGTCTGGGGTGCTGTGTGAAGCGCCAAGGCTGCGGCGCGGGGCGCGAGCGGGGCCGCGGAGGTACCAGGGTTCGGGCGGCGGGGGCTGCGCGGCACGGAGCCCCGCCCGGGGCTGAGAACCATCTTGTTTTCCACGCAGATCCGGAGGGGCAGCACGCATCCCGGGCGCGCCCCTCCTCCTCCCGGGGCCGCCGCAGGCTCGGCGAGCCGCCTTCCCCCTCCGGCCGTCAGGCTGGGCGCGCAGGGGCGCGGGCCCCCGCCGGGCACGCAGCGGCACCATGGGCACGGTGCTGTCCCTGTCCCCCAGCTACCGGAAGGCCACGCTGTTTGAGGATGGCGCGGCCACGGTGGGCCACTACACGGCTGTGCAGAACAGCAAGAACGCCAAGGACAAGAACCTAAAGCGGCACTCCATCATTTCGGTACTGCCCTGGAAGAGGATCGTGGCGGTGTCGGCCAAGAAGAAGAACTCCAAGAAGGTGCAGCCCAACAGCAGCTACCAGAACAACATCACGCACCTCAACAATGAGAACCTGAAGAAGTCGCTGTCGTGCGCCAACCTGTCCACCTTCGCCCAGCCCCCGCCGGCCCAGCCGCCTGCACCCCCGGCCAGCCAGCTCTCTGGCTCCCAGACCGGGGTCTCCTCCTCGGTCAAGAAGGCCCCGCACCCTGCTGTCACCTCTGCAGGGACGCCCAAACGGGTCATCGTCCAGGCGTCCACCAGCGAGCTGCTGCGCTGCCTGGGAGAGTTTCTCTGCCGCCGGTGCTACCGCCTGAAGCACTTGTCCCCCACGGACCCCGTGCTCTGGCTGCGCAGCGTGGACCGCTCGCTGCTTCTCCAGGGCTGGCAGGACCAGGGCTTCATCACGCCGGCCAACGTGGTCTTCCTCTACATGCTCTGCAGGGATGTTATCTCCTCCGAGGTGGGCTCGGACCACGAGCTTCAGGCTGTCCTGTTGACCTGCCTGTACCTCTCCTACTCCTACATGGGCAACGAGATCTCCTACCCGCTCAAGCCCTTCCTGGTGGAGAGCTGCAAGGAGGCGTTTTGGGACCGCTGCCTCTCTGTCATCAACCTCATGAGCTCCAAGATGCTGCAGATCAATGCTGACCCGCACTACTTCACACAGGTGTTCTCTGACCTGAAGAACGAGAGTGGCCAGGAGGACAAGAAGCGGCTGCTCCTCGGGCTTGATCGGTGAGCCCTACAGTCACATCCTGGCTTAAGGATTCAATTCATTTTTAAAAATTTATTATCAGATCAGAGTTTTGTGTATGTGTCTAGCAAAGCCACCAAGGGCCTCTCCCTTTCCACATTCTCTCCTTGGGGTTCTTTTCAGTCCTGCAAGAACTCTGGGGACTTGTGAACCGCGAAGGCTGTACAAACCCAGAAGATGTTCCCAGAGCCACCCCTGCGCTGACACTCTCGGGGCGGCTGGCTCCTGCTGCCCTGCCCTCGGTGGTCCAGTGGGGCGAGGCTTCCCACTGCTTCCCAGCTGGGAGCTGGTGAGGGGCTGCTGGCCAGCCGGCTAGCCGGCCCACAGAGGAATTGGGATTTCTGGCTGGAGGCCCTTTTCTAGCAACTGGTTTGGGTGGTTCTTTCTCCTTGGGGCTCCTAGAGTCAGCCATCCTGGCGAGGCTTGCAGGGGGTTATGAGGCAAGATCCCTACTGTCTGGAACATCTTTAGTCAAGGAGGGGTGAAGTGGGTCTCGTGCCAAGCTTGAAAGGTCATTTGACCATGCACGGCCCTGGTTTGCTGTTTTTTTTTTTTTTTTTGCTTTTTTGCTTTTTTGCTTTAGGGAGTACTTTCCTATTGAGAAAGGGAACTTGCCCCCTGCCTCTGGACCACTGCACCCAGCTCCCATGTTAGTGTTGGCTGGTTTGTCTCATTAGGAGCTCTCATTTTGGGTCCCAGCTAAAAGAATGGGGTGAAGCTGGGATAGCTCCTTTGCTAGGTGATTTTTCATTTCAGTAATGCAGCTCAGTGACCCTGTGGTGAAAGCCAGGACAGTGGCAGATGCCCATTAGCAGCAGCGTCCATGCCTGAGATCAAGCTGGTGCCCACCTAAGTGCTAAGGCCTCTTGCTGGTGCATGTGACATTTGTCCTGCTGAGCTCAGGGGAAGGGGAGATCAGCTCTAGGGGTGCTGTGGTAATGGCGAATCCCACTCCTACCCCTTGTTTCATAGGATTAATTTAACGCCATTTCTAAACAGTTCAGTTTCTTCTGGAGAGGAAGCCTTGCTTGCAAGGCAGTGAGACAGCTGGATCTTGGAGACAAAGACAGGAGCGTGACTCCTGATGGCTTTGGAAGCCTGGCGATCTCACAGCTGATCACTTGCAGCTGCTGGTTTGGTATCTACCTTACTTTAGCGGCTGTAAAAACACATGATGTATAGTTTACTGATTTCTTTCTAATTCTCTCAGACTGCTGGCTTAGGGTTTGGGAGAGGTCCAAACGAAGGGAGCCAGTCTTCCCACACAGCCCCTGCTCCGGCTTTGGGGAACAAAGAGCAATGTGAAGATGCTACAGAGGATTCTCTCTTCCAGTTCCAGTGCCTGGGGAGTGCTGGAATTGGAGTGCTGGGCTAGGCTCTGGGGGGCAGAGGTCACTTTTCATAGGATTAGGTTCTAGGTGGTGGCTGACTTCTGCACAAGCACTACTGAAATTCACATAAAAAAGAGAAAGCTGTGAAATTGAGGCTCTGATTTAAGAGGCCCAGAGCAGAGCTTTTTTAGCCAAGGTGTTCCCGGGGACCAGGAGGAGGCTGCCGGGCCTGGAGAGCCCCTCCCGCTGCTCTGGACCCTGGGACCGGCAGATAACCGGGTGCAGAGCTGGAAGGCACCTGCGGCTGCCACACAGACTCCACCACGGCCTCTCCTCTGCTGGTTTCCATGCAGCTCGTCTTCCGCCCCTGCTGCCAAGTGTGATTTGAAGCAGGAGCCCCGCAGGGCCCCTCCGGGTGTGGAAGAGGCCCTTCGAGTGCCAAGACTCCAGAGGAGGTGCATGCTTGTGGTCTGGTCCATTCAGTCGGTGGAACCTGCTGAAACCGTGCCCGTGCCACAGGATTCCACTTTTGTGTCTGTTTCCTTCTCTCTCTCTGTATTTATTATTATTTTTTTATGTTTTGGAGGAAGTGCACATTTCAGGATTGGTTCAGGACTAAGGAAACAATCTCGTTCCATCAATGTGAAGCCTTTGCGTGCTCCTCTCTCCCCTCGCACTGGTCATCAGTATTGTGTAAGGGAACAGCTGATACACTTGGGCGTGCAGACTGAGTGTGCAAGCGATGAACCCATTTGACATGCTGCTATGAAGACTACTTTTAGAACAACAAAAGAAAAAAAACTAACCTACAAAAAAACCTTTATTCTTTAATTGTTGCTTTTATAGTGATATTGTGCATGCAAACCAGGAGCATTTTGTGTCTTAAGAAAAATAATCTTAGAACAGATGGCTGTGAAAATTATACCCATGCACAGAACAAACCACAGGAATAATAGTTCAGGATTTGATTTTTCTCTTTTTCTTGTAAACCTGAAGGGTTGATCTATTCTTTCCAGGCAGTTATTAGGATTTAGTTTTGTTCCGACAGTTGTTAAATCTGCAATGAAAAGAAAATGTGCCATTTTTTTCTCTCGGGATTATTCATAGCTGTATATTGAAACTGCTAATTACCCACGTGTGATGTATGTTGGTTTTTTAGTGCAATTTCTTCTGTAGCTATTCTTTGACCAAACTGTGGGTATTGTTAATATTAATTTATATTTGTCTCATTTTGTATGTATGTATAGCGTGTTTCTGAGTATGTGTGGTTTATAATCTGACAAAGTCACGAAGCTCAGTTTGGCTGTAATTTAATTCCCTTTCCCTTATTTTTATTTATTTTTGTACTGTGCTGATTCAATAAAATGCACTGACCATCCATTACCTGGGCCTCTGATGGGCCCATCATTTGTGAGCAGGATGGGGGCAAGGCTAATGCATGATTCATGCACTCGGAGCGAAATTGGATTTGTGTTATGGGCGGGAGGTGCAGAGCTGGGGCAAAGAGCGGAAGTCACTAAGGTGATTAGGAAAGCAGCGCAGGTTAAGTCGGCTTTGCTTTGGTGGCAGGGCAGGCCTTCCTCAGAGGCTTCCTTGTGGAGGTCGATGACTGGCACCTTGAGCCAAGGAAGGTCAGGCTTGCGCTTGGCTTGGCCTTAGACCCAGGGCTGACCACTGAGGCTGTGGCTCCCAGAACAACTGGCCCTGCTCAGCACACCTGGGCAGGCTCCTGGGCCAGCAGGCATGGGGGATGACCATGTGGTCCAACCCCTCCAGTTCAGCTCTGTGCAGGTTTGAGAGAACTCGCCCTGGGGCTCCCAGATAAGCAGCCACCCTGGCTTGTGCTTGTGGCCAGGGCGGGTCAGTCCCCATAGCCCCAGAAGTGTACTCACAGACCAGCTTCAGGCTAAGGGAGAGGGCGGTGGGAACTGGCCCTCCCAGGGCCCTGTGTGCAGGCGTTCGCAGCTGGCAGCCTGGTGTGGGGCTGCTGGCTTTCTCAGGGCAACTCCGGTGCCTGGGAAGCTGGGTTGTCCCTTGATCTCTCCGGGCCTCCCGTTGTTTGCCTGCAGCTCCACTGCTGAGAACTGCTTCATGCTTTCTGTCTCTCTTGTCCTGCTTCCCCATTCCAACCGGCCACCTTGCAAAGAGGCTGTCCTGGCCTTTAACTGCTGCCAGGGGCCCCTAAGCCCGTCCTTCTGTGTAGTCCTGTCCTCTGAGGCCGAGCAGTGGGCTTCTGCGCTGTGGGGTGCAGGCTTCAGAATAATGCAAGTTGGGGCTGGGAAGGAGGCTCACAGGCACAGCACTTACCAGGCAAGTGCAAGGCCCTGAGTTTGATTCCCAATACAAAGTAAAAAGCCAATAAGAGGAGGAAGTTTGCAAATAACTCCACTGCTTTCTCTTTCCCACAATGTTCTTGCTAATATTTTTGTTCAAAAGCCTCAGGAAAATTATTGTCCATTTTATACTATTTGTGCTTAATTCACCTTTCTATCCTTGGGATAGACAGCTGACTTTATTTTTATTTTTGGGCACTGGGAATTGAACTTGGGACCTCACGCTTGCCAGACAAGCACTTCTCAATTGAGCTAAATCCTGAGCCCCAATAGCTGACTAAAATTTCACAATTGTAATTTTCAATGACAGATAAGCAGAACACCTTTAAAAATAAGATTTAATGCTTTATTGCTCTTGATGGTAAATCAAAATATGCTTTAGAAATAAAGTTAATTTAATGGAAAATAGGAATATATGCACCAAACCATAAAAGTACATTTAATTAAAACAAGAGAAACCACTTCATCGCGTTCACTCACGGCCCTCAGCACCCTTGATGGGTTAACACGCTCAAGCGCACCCTCGCTCACACTGCTCCTCACCGCCACACGACGTGGCTGCTGAGGTGCCACAGAAAGTGACCTGGCGACAGTGCCTGACACTGTCAGAAGGTGGGCAGGGGGAGTCCACGCTCTTCTTTCTTCTCTATTCTCTGACAGGCAGCTCATTTGGCATGATTTCTTTGGGCGTTTGAAACAGATGTGTGTGTGTCTAGTGTGAAGCAGGTGTGGGGGGTGAGGAGGACAGGCCAGATTCCAGTTAGAGGTGCAGCTAGTGCTACTGGCAATTGGCAAAGCTGCGCATTGCTGGGCTGGACGCAGGCACCCCTCACCGCGTGGACAGCTGGCCAGGCTCGAGAATGAGAGGGTCCCAAGGGCAGGACACCAATGGGACTCTTTGTTGCAAATTGCACGTAGTACTGGGTCCATGGAAGGAAGGGCATGAGACCAGGCTGCCGTCACCGCGGCAGCCAGCCGGGTGACCAGCTCAGGCAGATCCTGGGTGAGGCATGGGAGGTGCCACACAGGCCCTGGGTGGTTCTGCTGGGTCAGGGTGGGAGAAGCCGGGTGAGAGGCAGCGTTTGTGGCAGAAAGTGAAGAAAACTTCAGTTTGTCCCTTTCGTACCCTGCCAGCTCCTCCTGAGGTGTGGGCTCCCTGCCGAAGGCCACAGCGTTCTCCTCAGCAGCAGAGGTGGGGAGGTTGTCTCGGGGAGGCCTTTAAGCACAGGCGCTCTGTGCTGGCGAACTGGTGAGGCAGCAGCTCTCCTACAAGCAGGCCATAGGTACCGGGTGCCAGCAGGGGTTTGTGCGTGGTGTGCAGCGGGTGCCCTGGCCTGGCCTGCAGTGCCAGGACCCCACACGGTGCGCTGCTGCGCCGCCTCCCTAGCCCTGGTGTGCGCTCACCCTCACCCAGCTCCTAGCTCTGCTGGTGGCTAGGAAACCCAGTCAGAGCTCGGAGAAGCTGCTGATTCCAACTGTGGCCCTGCATTTTCTTACAAGCAGTAGACTTTATCTGACCAGCAGCCAGTGCACTGCAGAAACTGGCAAGACACGACTGCACATGCAGGCTGTGGGCCCGGGTTGGCATTGGAACAAACATCACACTGCTTCTGGGGTGGTGAGCAGAAGGCCTGGGCCGGGGCCTGTGGCAGGGGCGTCTGCCAGGACAGGAGGCTCTGGCAAAGTGGGTGCCCTGCTGGTGTGGCCGGGGGCTGGTGCTACAGGTGGACCTGCTCACCTGGTGGCTTTGGCTGGAGGGGGTCTCTGGGGAGCTCTGAGCCAGGTCCTGAGAGTGATCACCTTGGGGACAAGAGGACAGGCCTTCCCCCGCAAGATCGCTCCCTCCTGCTGGAAAGAGCATGTCTTTGGCTGGGGAAACTGCATCCTGGGCTCCTCTCCTGTCCCTTTCCTGGTGTCAGCAGCTGGTCATTGTCTCGAGGCTCGCTGACTTGAGCTGCCACCTAGGGGATGCTTGTGCAGATAGAAGGTTCATCCAGCTGCCTCTGAGGTGAGATTTGGGCCTGCTGTTGGTCCAGGGGTCTGGGGCAGGGCTCTGGGGTCTTTGGTTTACTGAACAGGGACTGTGGGAAGCTGAGACAGCAGAAGATGGAGACTGAGGCAGAAAGCCAGGGAGACCACCCCAGGGGAGGGGCGCCTCCGGGCGGGGAGCTGGCAAGCTGATATCGCACACGAGGCTTTAGCAGGGATGCAGCAATTAGGCTATGATGCCAAGGGAGGCTGAGCCCCACCAGCCTCTACCGGGCGCAGCCTCCCGTCCTGGCCCATCTCACACGGAGGGATCAATTGCCCGGCACACTGAGAATGAAGCCTGAGCGGTTCTTGGTGAAGTCAGGCTCTGGCTGGTTAAGCCGTGTCTCCACGGAGACGGTGCACTTCTTCCCGTGGAGGCTGCACTGTACCGGGTGGGTGACGTTCACTTGAAGGTGACGCTTCTCACTGCAAGAAGCGATAAAGAGAGATCAGGCAGGCAGTCAGCAGGCAGACTTACGCCAGGGTGCGTCCCTGGCAGTACCCGGGGCTCTGCCATCTGCCAGGCTCCAGCTGGACCTGGGAGGCGGATGTATGGGAGTCAGGCCCCATGTCCGGCTCAGGGGTGGGCTGAGTCACCCAGGCCTTAGGTGTGGCAGAGGCAGGCTTCTGACCCGTGACTCTCAGCTACTGTGCTGGGGACAGGGAGATTCCCCTACCACATACTCTTGGGGACAGGAATATCTGCGAGGTCCCGGCCGCTGGCCCTGTCTGTCCCGGAGTCCAGCTGCTAGAAGTGGGTCTGGGTTGAAGGCTGGTCCCCCCATGGTGCTGGGATGGTGATGCAGCTTTGCTGATGAGTACCGCTGCCGGGGAGTCGCGGTGCTCCCTCCTCTGTGGCCCCGAGACGTGTATGGAAGGAGCTCAGGTCCTCCCTGCCTGGGAGCCATGACCTGCTGAGCTCGGGGAGGCCCAGCCAGCACCTCCTTGCTACCTACGCATGGGGCCAGAAGCCCAGCCAGCCGCCTGGCGCTGTGGCTGTGCACTCCCTGTGCACTCCGAGTCCTTTCTCTAGCTCCTCATAGCACAGGGACTGCCCAAGAACCAGCTGGTTATATTTCATTCATTTTATTATTTCTGGTTGTATGGAGATAGGGTCTTGCTAGGTATGCCAGGCTGCCCTTGAATTCGTGGTGATCCTCCACCTCAGCCTCCCGAATGCTGGAATTACAGGTGTGCACTAGCTGCTTATTTTTATTTTTGAGACAGGGTCTCACTCTAGTTCAGGCTAGCCTTGAGCACACTTTGTAGCCCAGGCTGGTCTTGAACTTGCAGCGATCCTCCTGCTTCAGCTCCTGAGTGCTGGGATTAGAGGTGTCTGCCACCACGCCCAGTCAGCTGCTTATTTTAAAAGCTGAGAAATCTGTCAGAATAGGCTGGCACCTAACGCTACACATCTGAGCCCGCACAGTCCTATGATACCCCTTGGCTTTGAGTTGGGAGGGGCGGGGGCAGGGCAAGGGCCTGCCAGCCCAGGAGCCTCGTGCCAGGGTGGCTCTCTGCCCTGTGTGCCCGAAGCTCCAGTAGTGCCTTCGTTGCTCAGGGTGGCACGCAGGGTCAGACAGGCTGGACTCAAGGCTGGGGTTCCTCCTTGTGCTGAGTGGCGACAGCCAAGCTGTGGCATCCACAGTGCAGTGAGGCCAGGGCCGAGGGTGGTGCACTGAACTGCTCTGCATGACAGGCACCCCCTCAGCCCTTGCGGACGTGAGGTGCTTTCTAACGCAGCTGGTGCGCAGGAACGGGTGCCCAGAACACAGCTTTCCAGGAGCTCCTGGGGGACACGTCCTACAGAAGGGCCCAAAGTTTGGGGCACGATTCTAGGTGCTCTCAGGGGCTCTTCTCCCAGCTTTCTCATCAGCCATGATGCAGAGGCAGCAAGCGGACATAGGGAGAGGACGGTGGTTATCACCTGTAAGCATTAGGTATCTAATTCTTAATATTTTGTCAGCTGCAGCTAAAGCTTGGCTTAGACAGTTATTTTTAACCAGATTTGCACGTAAAAATAGCAGAGCCCATCAGAGGCAATGACTCAGGCCCTCTTCTATCCTGCAGGCTTCACAGCTGCTTTGCAGGTAGGTGTTGCTGTGAGGGTCCACTGTAGTTCTCGTGCTGGCCCAGAGGAAGAAGAGCTCCAGTTCTGTCAACCTACCTACAGGACCAGATTGGCTCCCGAAACCCCCTACCTGCCGGACCCTTGGCCTGAGGGCTGGCTTCCCAGGAGCAGCCTCCCTCCTGACCCTGGCCAAGGCCTCGCAGGCTCTTTCCTCCTAGCAGTGTGGCGCAGGACTGGGCACATAGTGGCCTCCAGTGTTTCCTGGTAACTCAGACAGGCCACAGCCCAGGTCAGCTTGAGAAGTCTACCAGAGAGCTGGAGAGAGGAGACACTTCAGCACCGCCTGTGATTGACTCCTTTCAGCAGTAGGCCCTCCTGCCAGCAGCTCCTGCCCAGCGGGAGCCTGCGGCCCCCAGGGCCAGCAGTGCGGCTCCGGCCTGCATCTCCGCCATGCTGGAGCTGTGTAGCTCCTGAATCTGCTCTGAGCCTCGAGCCATGAAGGCAGGTGGTGAGAGCTGCAAACAGCACCCAGGGAGAGGTGGCGGGACATCACCTCGAAAGCAGAGCCGTTGGGAGGGGGGGACGAGCTGCAGTCAGCCTGCTCCAGCTACCCATCGTGAGCACGGACTCCCCATCGTGAGCACAGGCTCAGAGCTGCCCATCCTCCTCTGCAGCCTGTAAGAGCTGGAGAAACTGCCGGTGGGGAGGAGGCAGGACGCAGGTGCTGTGCCGGCAGCAGAGAGCACCGTGGTGCAGGCTCTAGAAGGCCCCACAGAAGCACCCACGCCAGCACACTGGGCAGGGCACTAACTCCCATCCCTCCCGAGACCCCTGCTGAGGGCAGGCTCCTGGAGAAGGGCTGGGAGCAAGGGGAGCTCTCTGCCCCACTCTGCCTGAGCCCGCGCTGCTGCCTGCCCTCCTGGGGCAGTGTCCTGCCCTCCACACTGCACATACTGCCCAGGATATGCTGCGGCTCCTGCCAGCTTTTTCCTGGCAGAGAGCCCTCTAGGCAGGAGCCAGGGTGAGGAGAGAAGCACCCTGTGTGCAGCGTGCACCAAGGGGCTGCGCCTCAGCTCCTCCAGCCAGCCCTGAGCCAGGCTCAGATCGGCAGCACACACGGACTCCGCTTCCTACACTGCCCCTCGACTGAGGAGACCAGAGCACAGCAGGAAAACAAAGGTGGTGTTCAGTGGAAACCCTGCAGAGGGGCCGGGGAGATGGCTCAGTGGAAGAAGCGCTTCCCTGGCAAGTGCAAGGGCCTGAGTTTGATCTGGGCCTGAGTTTGATCCCCGGTTCCATCAAAAAAACAAAAACACAAAACGAAATCCTACATGCCCCTCTATGCTCAGGATGGCTGGGTGGCATTTCTGGTCTCTCCTGATTTGTTTAGGGTCTTAATACAAGACCAGGGGCCACAGGGCTGGGGTTCTGGATTCCAGTCCTGGTCTTGCAGGCTTACTGGCTGCATGACCTTGTTCACGTTTCTCAACCTGTCTTTAGCAACTGCCAAGTGTATATAAGAGATCTATTCTTCACCCAGAATGAGCCCCTCACCAGATGTGGGGGGCTTCTCCAAGCGTGGGCACATGCCTGCCCTCACAGGATTTGCAGGCTGGTGAGCTGTGTCCTCAGCACCGAGGAAGGCATGAGGCACAGCACCTGTGACGTGTACACTGCTGTTGCGCTTCACAGAGGAAACTGCGCTCCTTCCTCAGCCAAGCAGCAGGACCCCTGAGGGGTGCAGAGGAGCTGGCGGACTCCGCTTGTGTTCTTCACACACTTGCACACAGTTCACCCACCCGAGTGGCTGCCTCTCTGGGGGTGGGGGTGAGGGTGGGGCTAGATTCTGACCCTGTATCCTGTTCTGATGAGTTCATGGCACATTAGTGGCAGAGTCTTTCCTGTCCCAGAATCCACGTCTCTGCAGCTCGGGGAGGGGCCTCGCTTAGTTCCAGCATAGAACTCCAAGGACGGGGATGCTCCCAGGTGCTGGGGAACATTCGACCCAGGCCGCTGGCTCTGGGCTTGCTGGGTCAGAGAGATGTAGCAAGCCTCAGTTTATCCAGTCTGCAAGCCATGCTTACTCAGGGAATTAACTCGATCTGCACATTCCATCGACCTCACAGTCATGGCAGCTCAAAATAAGGACAGCAGTGGGTGTGGCTCGCCCACCTCCTCCAGGACTGCAAAGTGCCAAGTTCCGTGGAGCTCGTTCTGAAGGTAGAGCAGCCAGATTGCCTGTGAAATGGGCAGGCCGAAGGAGGGCTACTGAGAAAAGAAATACCCCATGTTGTCTTACGAGAGTTCTCACTCTTCTTGGCACAGCCCTGTGTGGCCCTGTCCTGTGCACATGGGCAGCTGTGGGGTCTGGCACAAGAGGGGTTCAGTGTGCAACACGACTGAGTACCAGGAAGAGCTGGCCTTCTGTTCTGAAGGGTTTGGTTAGAGCACCTGGCTAGTGCCACCTATACCCTGCCCCAAAAGGCTGCCAAGGACAAAAACGTGTGTGCAGTGTCGTGGCCCCTCAGAGAGTGACACACACACCGCAGGACCAAGGCTATTCCTGCACATGTGCCCCACAGAAACGAAGCAGGTGTCTACACAAAAGTGTGTACATACAGCAATTATCTACAAGACAGAAACAGGCCAAGGGTCGGGCATGGTGAATGGATCAAAAGAAGCGTAGTACAGCCACTCACTGCAGTGCTACTCAGCGGAATGTCACTCGCAACACCAAGACGAACGTGCACCACTGGACCCTTGAGACCAAGTAGAAAGGACCACATATGCTGTGATCCCACGTATAGGAAGTGTTCCGAACAGGCAACACCTAGAGGTGAAAAGCCGATGAGCTGTTACTCAGGGCTGCAGGACGCATGGAAGGACGACTGAAGGCTATGGAATTCCCCCAATTTTTTTTTCTTTTTGCGACAGGGTCTCACTATGTAGTTCAGACTGGCCTTGAGCTCACTTTGTATCCCTGGTTGATCTCCAATTTGCAACGATCCTCCTGCCTCAGCCTCCTGAGTGCTGGGATCACAGGCATGCACCACCATGCCTGAGCAGAATTGCTGTTTGGAATGAGGAAAATATTCTGGAACTAGGTTGAGGTGATGGTTGCACATTATTGTGCATGTACTACATACGACAATTTTGTGTGAATTTTATCACTGAGTTTTAAAAGATCTGGACTGAGCTAGAGGAAACATAAGGTATGCCCTTAAACTATGTTTTTCTCCCCTATGTCAAGTCCTGCCCAAATAATCTTAAGACCAGCAAGAGGTTTCTGGGCTCTTCTGGAGAGGGGCAGTCCCAGGGCCTGCATGTAGCCAGGGGGCCCTGCGGGGTGGGGCTC